CAACGTTTGAATGGTATGGCGACTACATACAGCTAAGCGATATACTTAGTAAATATGTAAAAAAGTCGGACAAAATATTGATGGTTGGATGTGGCAATTCAGAGCTGAGTCGCATGATATATGACATAAATGCTTGCCATGATATTCTTAGTATTGATACAAATGAAACAGTGATTGCTCAAATGATAGACAAACACAATAGCAATGGTCAAAGACCAGGGTTGATATACAAATGCTTGGATGTGCTAAATCTCCATGGCTATATTGATGCAAGCATTAGCTTGTCTAAAGAGGGCAGATCACATTTTTCTTGTGTTATTGATAAAGGGACTCTTGATGCCTTGCATACACATGAGGGTAGCGAAGAAACTGTTGAAATGATGTTTCAACAAATAGATTATGCTCTACAATTGTCTGGACGTTATATAGTTATAACGCTAGCACAAGCTCATATTTTGCAGAGCATTTGTGCTTATTTCATTGAAAGGTAACTTTGTACATATTGGCCACTTCAATCGGGAACTCTAATTACTTTTATTATATGACCATTATTAGGAAACCGGAATGGGTTGTACACATTCATCAAATAACTTCCAATTCTGACCAGGAATCTTCCCGTGCTTCATTTCCTCTACCGGTGTTTGTTTTTGTCTTTGTAAAACTTCGGTGCTCACCAGATCATCTCCCTCGTTTATCCATTATGCCTCTTGCTCAAAAGCAGCAAATTAATATGTCTTGGGTAGTCAATCCTACCGAATTGAGCGCGCGAATTAAAGAATGGATAAAAATGGAACAAGAACTTTGTCTTCTTAGACACGAACTCGTGTAAGCTATACAAGCTCATTATTGTGAAAATAATTCTTCTTAAATGTTACTTAAGCTTAATAATTTGGCATTATTTTATGCATGTTTAACTAAATTTAGCTTTCATTTTTTGGGTCATTATAGATCTGGTAAACAGAACGAGTTTCACTTCCTATGTCCAGACAATGATTTCGTTGTCTTTCAATGCCGTTATGTAGCAATTAACACTTCAATCCGCTCGAAGGTCGTAGCCCCTTCTGCCGTTTATCTTGTACCATTTGGAGATCACAAGTAAATATGTCAGTTAACTAAATACTTATCATTATTTTTACTTAGTCTTAAATATTAATTTTACATTAATTATAATCTGTTTGTTCAAATGCATCAGCAACATTGCCTCATAAGTCAGCTTTTAAAGCAGAGTAATACTGATTTTACATAAAATCAGTGAGCAGTTTGGTTCCGGCAAGTTATATCTTTGTAAAGCCTCTGGCCGGCATGATACGCAATATTAAAATGA